TGATATCTATCCTCAATTGTTATTAACAGATGAATATAAGATAAGTTGCTTTGTTAATCTGCATTAATATCATCTAATATATATGGCAGAAACTCAATCCACGAGAATATGGTGATAATCTCTCTGCACAATATGATTGCTAGGAACTAATTATTTATGAATATGGGGTTGAAACATTCGATAGTTCTGCAATTAAATTTCAAAATGCAGCTTCTTTACTTTGACATCATGATTTTCAGCATTTAGAATATTATCTGGTGGATTATGGCAACAAATTGCTGTCCTCATTGCTTGGAAAACATAATGCATTACACTCAAAAAAGGAGGTAAACAATGTTGGTTTTGATTATCATCACAAATCTACAAAATCTTCACCCTTGGGGAGAAAATCGACAAGCTTTAGAAAGAAAGCACCATTGCGATTCCTCCGCTTGAAGATTCGAGTTGAAATATTACAAAAATTAAAGATCTGGGGGCTTATGAAATTTATAGAGTTTAGGTGCAGAAGAGGAAATGAAGAATTTTGGGCAGCATAAGCAGTTGAAAAAGCAAGCATCTTCTGAGATTGCATACTGGTAGTTCACATTCTTATCGCATAACCTTGATGAGATGATATAAAAAAAAATGTTGTTTGAAAATCTATTCACACTATCATGAACATTGAGGAAATACAAGGATAATCATAAAAGCTATTAGAAGCTAAAGACATTCGTCGACCAAAAACCCGAGCAATCTTATTATCTGTAAGTTTCCAAAGGCATTATTCTTTATATAAACCCTAAAAGCAAATTAATGGAAATGAGTCCCGAATCATTAGTCCAAATGTATATGTTCAAAAATGGGTAGATGTTGGACATGAGAAATACAGAAATTGTTTGCATAAATGAAAAACTCATACGTCATTTTACTGCAAAATTGAATACTTGGATTCCATGGAATTATTCCAGGAAATTGGGAACAATGACAGTAATTGATCCTTTTCAATGAAATTAGACGATGACTGTTCATCACGATGCGATGATATGAACCACTTAATAGCGAGAAATCCATAGTAGGGATATTGCAAATTGAGCGAATTTTTCACACAGCTTCTTGACTTCTCTGGAGCATCTGCAGTTTATTTGCCTATGAAATGTCTTATAGCAAAGATCCGTACAATATAAATGAATGTATACCATTGAGAGTGAATCACTAACATCACCATTCTAATCAATTACATATTATTATTTCAACCATATTTACATATTGGCTTGTAACAATACAGATAAACCGCAGAAAATTTAAAAAGAATGTGCGCAACTAAGGCAAAAGGTCGCGGGATCATATTTGCAAAATGCATATTTTGGTGCAAGAGCTTTCCCACTTCACTGTCACACTACTTTCGAACCACATGTTTATTACCAAGCACGGAGAGTGCCGAGTAATGAATTGACAGGAGGATTCAAATAAAATCTTAGAAAAATCTAACAATTTTCAGCCTATCCTGGGCGACGCTTGGTAAATAAATTAAATAAAAAAAGAACGATTGATGAATGCGAGATACAAGCGACATCAAAACCTAATAATTTTGTTGAATTGTAGAGAATTACACATCTGTACAACTAAGTTATAATTGTTTAGAAGAAGTCTTAAAACCCAATCTGGTGCTAGTTAAAACATACTTTATGAATAATTTTCGTTAGTTTCATTAAACACGAAAGTATATAATCTTTTGCGATTTAAAATCCCAATTTGGACTTGAGATGTATTTTGATCAAAACTGGCCCTGAATTTGCAGAATGTTAACATGTTATGTAAGTATTCTAGTTATAACATAACATATATGTATGTAATTATTAAGTCTCACCGTTTCATTAACTATTCACAGAGCTCGAAACTCGGGAAGCGATATTGAAACAATTTCATATACGGATCTACAAAGACCTCTACGTGTAAATGCCTACTCTATCTACCTTGTAAATGTTAACAAGTTCACACTAGGAATTATAGAGAAGCAGAAAGAAATATGAACAATGGGCGTTGACATAAAAGATCAACTAAGTGACGCAAATGAATTTATGAAATTAGGTTAGTTTTGGATTAGAATACATGCCTTACTCAATACAAGTTCACATCTATCAAAATGTGATGGAGCTGGAACCTTCTCAACACCAGACAATCAATATCTCTATAAGAGTACATCTCGATTATTATGATCAACTAGTCAAGTACAAACTGATGATCAATAAATGACACAATAATAATATATCATGCAATACAAATTCATTACAGGGCTGAAAAATATGGTCAGTAGCCACATCGATGGAAGGTGTTTACTTACACTCACAACGAAGTCCGATGGAAAATATTCTTTGTTGACACCGTGCGGGGGCGTATTTACATTTACCTTTTAGTCGTTGCTTACATGTACAAGTTCAATATAATAAAGCTTGCAACTGCATTGATTAATTAATTTATTGTTTTCAGGAGAACTATAGTACAGCTCGTGAGTGTCTTGTTTCTTCTCAAACTGAATCTGAAGCTGAGTCAAGAATTGATGAGTTAGCACTTTATCTGCAGGCCGCAGGGGGCGAAAAGAAGAGGAAAGTATATGGCATCGGGTCTCAGGCATCAAAGTTTTACTGCGGCTCAACATCACAGTTTTACTGCGGCTCAGCATGTAACGCTTCTGCAGCCAGCTCAGGACCACAGCCCCAGCACAGTGCCAAGGAGTTTACTGCATTATGGGCTCGTGCTAATGAGCAGGAGAGATAGCTTACAAAGCTTAGAGCGCATGTCATGCGGTTGTCCGGTGAGCTTGATGCTGGTACTTCTTCCTCTGACCCTGCGCCTACTACAGATCGAGATGTTTTGACAGCACAGCAGCAGCCACTACCGTCTCCTCTTGATCTCGATACTGTAGACGATACCTTAGTCACTCCTGCCGACACTACAAAACACAATACCGGCAGGTACTCCCCCTATAATTACGAACACTAAGTACGACACTAGATCGTGCAGATGACCAACCTCGTAGATTTGATTTTGGACCTTTTTAGCTTTTTGTGGTTTTTTCAAATTTTGTACAATACATTACATTAACAACTACATTTTTATATTGTTATTGTGTTGTGATTGTGAGATATATATATATATATATACAAAAAATTATGATTTTTAATATTATTTAATTTTTTTTTGTAATTGTATATTTGTGACCGAACTGCAACCAAATATATAACCAACAGCTTTCAACGTTTGCGACTAGATTTAGTAAATTGCGACAGACACAATCTGCGACAGAATTTCAGAAAGAAGACACGACCAACTTTTGCGATCGATATTTATATTTTTGCGGCCGATATTTAGGTCGTAAATTAGCGACTAATTAGTAATTCGATCGCAAAATATTTTGCGACGAGCATTTTATCGGTCGCTGATAGAATTTAGCGACCGATTTATTACATTTTGCGATCGATTTGTCGGTCGCAAATGAGCGAATTTTTTGTAGTGACTCATTTAAGAGGATCTTAAAAATACTCTAGATCTACAACAATGATAAAATAGAGGAGTTATCATTTAAAACTCTTAATAATGATAGATCTTATAGACTAGACCCAAGATATAGATTTATTGAATATAAAAATTAAAAAAAAAATTAAGAAAACAAGAAAACATGAACCACCGGTTATCAAAGAAGATGTCGATAATAGCTCGAAAAAGAAAAATTAGAAGAAACTTAGAAAAAGAAAGAACAAGACATGGGCAAGAAAGTGAGTTTCTTCACTGAATACTTGCTCAATAATAAAAATATATATATATAAAAACTTATATTCAACTTATGCCTATTTACGAGTTAAAATGTACAAAGGATCAAATAAAAAATCGAGCATGTCTCTAAATATTTCCTGTAAATTTTGCGTAGTATATAATAAATAACATATCAAATAATAATAAACATTAGTATGGATGGAGTGGTTGAAATTCTTTTGCTCTTACTCAAAAGTCTTGAATCTAAACTTTGAGTATAAAAATTATCATGCTGAGAGGCTCCCTCGTGTATAAAACATTGGATTGGAACACATTTCTCCAACAAGGAGAATTAGAGAGATCATTTATTTTGAAAACTTTTGATGCACAAAAAAAATTAAAATACATCTATTTTAAGTTGGACATTTTTGGTTAGATGCACACCACGCATAATGTCTCCAGTAGTCTTAAAAGTCACCTGAGTAGGGAATTGGGTTTCAAGGCTACAGATAATCTGGGTAAATATCTTGAGGTTCTTAACATTCAAAGAGATCTGCATTTCAATTACATGATTCATGCCATGCAGATCTTGAAAACAACCTTAAAAAATGATTCAGTAATTTATTGTTAAGTTAAGCCATCTCCTCTCATCTATTGCATTATTTCTATCTCCTCTCATCTATTGCATTATTTCTTGCCCATATAGTTGAAACTACATTCTCAATGTTTTGTTTGCAGCAGATTCAAGCATCGTACTCATTTTGAAGTTAATATAAATTGATGTGTTACAAGATATTGTAAAAGCTGCGGAAATTTGTAAAGTTATTCAAGTCATTTACTGTTTTTACTCTATCAGCTGCATCACTAATGGCATCATTGTTGAAAGTCCTGTAGAAAGCATGTCAAAGTTGTGGTTCCAAAATCTTTCAGATTGTGTTCTTTGGATTTTGGACCATTAGCATTTGTAAATTGCCATGATGTTACTTGTCTCTATATCTGTACCATATTGTTGGTAGCATCATGGTTTAGGCCACAATGGGGTGAGGAATGGGTGTGGTGGTAAATTTATGACACTGCAGATATCTATGGATAAGTTTTCAAGTTTTTCTCTTAAAATGCAAAGAATGAATATCAATTTTCTCTTACATTCATTTCTTTTCTTTCTTATATCAAATATCTGTTAGGTTTTACTCTTGTGCACTTAAATTTGCCACGTCTTTGTTTTTACCTTTCCGTTTTCCTGATTCTTGAATAAATAGGGGGAGACAGATGTGAAGTTGAACCTGGGGAGAAAAGAGGGGTTGTCAAATTTGTCGGTCGAGCTGAATCTCTTGCACGTGGCTTTTGGGTTGGAATTCAATGTGATGAGCCATTGGGGAAACATGATGGCATGTGTGTACATTAATCTCTCTCATTATTCTAAAATTTTCAATTTTTCCGTAGTTCTATCTTTTAATGTCTGGAATAAGGCCTTTTATGATATCAATGTTGTTTGTCGATCATATATGTACTTATTACTGAAACAATTTTTATGGTTTTCAGGCTGACAGTTTTTAAGCCTTAACTTGGTAAATTATCTATTTGATAAAAATCTGATTTCAGGTATGCAGATTAATATCGTAAGGATCTGATTGGCAAAGTTTCAAGAAAATTGATAACATTTAAACTTTAATTTGCAACATGTAATGAGTATTTAATTTTAGGTTTAACAATGTAACAACTTGAACAGGTTTTTTTACAGGTTTTTTTGTTTTTTTTTTTTTTTTTTTTTTTTTTTTTTTTTTTCAGTCATTTAATTGCATAGATCATTCTGTTTTGTGTTTTCTTTATTTGTTTCCTGGTCTTGTTTTAGTGTGCAAGGAGTGCGCTACTTTGATTGTCCTCCACTCCATGGTGCCATGGTTAGGCCTGACAAAGTAAAGGTTTGTAGAACTGTTCTCATACTGCTTGAGTGTCGGCACTTATGAGTTAATAATGAACAAAAATTTTAGACCACTTTACTATCTGCTATAGTGATTCATATGGAATAATATTTTATGGATTTCAAAATCCAAATTCCAGCGTTAGAAATGTAGACCATTAGGTTGAACTGCTGAAGGCTGCAACAAAGTGGGCATAGGACGCTCCTGTATGCTTAAGCGTGTAATAATACCCTTATCATAAATTACTCTGCTACAGTTAGGGGCATTAAACATGTATGTACATAGGAAATTTAGATTATGTATCAGTTAATACTGATGAAATAAAACATCAACCTTAACCTTCAACTTTAAGAGACAGAAATTATGCCCTCATTCTTCGTGCTTTTGGATGTTGATATTCCTAAGGTAGCCTTCTATAAGCATATTCTTGAAATGAATGCGGAAAATGTAAATGATTTTCCATGTCATTTAAATTAAGGGGTTTGAATGTAGAACGCTTGAAGATTTCTGACATTATAATGTTTTCTCTATGGATCTAAGATGATGGTTATTTTCCAGGTTGGTGACTATCCAGAAAGAGATCCTTTCGATGAGGAAGAAATATGAACTGTGTTGGGATTAATGCTCTGATACCACTTGTTGAATATAAGTGCAGTGATAAACTTCAAAATTGATTAATAATTTATAACACCAAAAATAATAATGGGAAAGGCAACCAAAATAATAATGGGAAAGGCAACCAAAATAATACTAACACAAAACACCAAATATAATTGTATTAATAAGAAGCAAACATTCACAAAACTTAAGGAAATGATTACTTACTTGGTTTAAGGAAATGATTACTTACTTGGTTTTTGCTTGGTGCTTGCTTGGTTTTTACAATTGAGAGGAGGGTTGGTATTTATAGGCATTTCCACCTCGTCAATGTACGGCTAATATTTGTTTACAAAAATGGACAGTCTAGATTATAAGGAACATTCAGATTATAAGGAACATTCTAGAGTTAGGTAAGATATTTTCATTACATCTCATGTGTGGAGAATTGTGGAGTATTCTAGAATGTGGGCTTGGACCTCTAACTTTGAGCTTGGGGTTTTGGACTTTAAGCTTGCCAAGTATTTATCTTATTGTAGTAACCCATTTTGGTGGTTATCTTTTCTAAATTAATCGATGATATTTTAATAAACTGAGATAGCAAAATGCGTCTTCTTGCATGCCTTTCATATTCAGGCAACAATATTCACCTTTTTGAGGGATTATATGGTGGCAATGATGGAAGCTGAACAATGTTTTTGGACCTGCAAGGGTAACAGGACCAAATGGTTTATTAAATGGTTTTTTGATTGGTTTTTTAAATCGGATCAGTTACCGCCAATGCAGCAAAACCATTGGCTTATATACTGTGTTATTACTGTATTAGGCAATGTCTAATATCTTAATCAGAATGTATTTGTTTATACTATGGATTGTGATGTTACTTCAATCTTCATTGTCCCTGTACACCACTCGCAACTTATAAAAAAACAAGTTCTTTCTGCTCTTCCTTTTTTTTCAATTTTTTTGTTCTTTTTAATTATTACAGGTTTCATGTTATCATTTTCACCAATTCCACTGATTGGAACTATTTGAGTGATCAAAATGAGAAACAGTTAAATTTGAGTAATTTTTAAGTGACAAATCATTAGTAAAAAAGGCATAAAAACTTCCTCCAAATTTCTATGCCTGCTGATAATACCTAACATAATCATCTCAATGGAGGGTTCAAGACTCGAATTGCAGAGTCCCCATTACAGTAAGTTGCGGAACGTTAGGCAGAGACAAATGGGTTGACATAAAACAAGCTAAGCCTAGGCATAAAACTTCACTATCTTCACTACTGATGATTCCCCAATTTTTTGGGAAACAACAATTTGGGCATTACGCTTAAGCAATCCGACAGATTTTCCATGATCCAGGGCAATTTTCAACCCTGATTCTTCACTTGAAGCACCTGAGGTTGCCCGCACATCTAGGAGAGTCAAAAACACACAACATAACATAATCTAACATAAACAATTAAATTAATGATGGAAACTTTTTGTACCACATGGGAAAGGCCAGAGTACTTACCACATTTGGACTAATCAAAATAGGGTAAATACTTTATCTTGTAAAATTATTCTATTAAATATTCGAACTTATAAAATTAGATCGATTAAACATTCAGTAGATAGTTGTAAAAAATGAAAATTATTATTTCAAAGATTATAATAACTACACATCAACTGAATATTTTGTGTATAAATACCAAAAACACAAAAAAATGGTATTGTTAATATGGAGAAGGGTACACCAATATTCATAACTTTAAAGATATAATATTAGGTTTCTCGCAAAATTAGAAGGCATGAAGTTTTTTCTGAAAATTACAGGATCAAATTGATATATATCTAAACAATCCCTTTATTCAAAAGGTGATATAATGCCACACCTAATACGTTATTACATGCAAAATAAAATATAATAGTACGGCATTTTGCAATAAACTCCTACATTGATTCAAAATTTTATTCTTTTGCCCTTCATATTAGCTTCATCCTTATTCAAAACACCTGTGAACCGGAGGCAGCCCCGGAGCATCCACCAAATCAAGTAAGCTATTCCAATCATACCTCTGATCTTGATCAAGATAAATAGAACTCCCATCACTTGTAGCATTTCCTTCGGCCATTGATGATGAGTTGTGATGATCAACAGAGGCGTTATAAACCATAATATTAGAAAGTCTGTTCACAATATTAATCCCATTAACATTTAAATTTGCTTCCATAAATGTATCCATAACCCATGTATTATTGTTATCAGTGGTATTGTCATACGTACCCGTTCCATGCACTGTCACTGAGCTACCCATTAATGTTTCTTTCGCTTGCTCCATGCATTTCCATTCATTTTCTTCATTAATCGTTTCCCCTTTGCTTGCAGTATTATTATTGCTAGTGGTGAATTGAAGCTGAGAAATGATTAATGTATTCTCCTGTTTAAACCCACTAGCTAATGCATTTTCTCGAAAATTTAAAGTTGAAGTTGGGGACTCGAGGCTGTCGCCGAAGCTTTCGCCAGCACCAGAGAAAAAAACATGGCCGCAAAACATAACCTTGCCATACTTTAAAGCACGTCAAGGCATTCGCGTCTAACTGGTGAGAGCTGCAGCCGCATCAGGCGTGTGGGTTTATTGAGATAAGAAAAATTGTATGTTTTCGCCCAAAAATCCCCCCAGAAGGACCCGAAAACATCCCTTTTTTGGTTTTTTGGAATAAAATGTTTTTGTTTTTGGAATGCGGATGCCGATAAACCGTCTCAAACAATTTTGAGTCGTCACCCATTGTTTAGGCAATGGGACCATTTTTACAAAAAAATGACTCATTTTAAACCCAATTTTGTTTTAGGCCAAAATTATTTTTAAAAGAACTGGTCAGCGCATCCAATGCATTCTGGTTAAGGAAATTTGGTACGCCGGCCCGTGAAAGCCGACGCCCCGGAAAAACCGGCCTCTATTATTAACCTATGATTTCTAATTATTTAGTTAGAAAAGCCCAAATTATTATTTACTTAAACCAACCCAAATAAATCGGAGCTCAGTTCCTATTTAGAAAATTATTTAATCGTTCCCAAACAAATCTAATAATCATCTATTTAACAGTATTATTCAAATTTTAAAGCAATTTATTTCAATAGCAAGCAACCAAATAAATAAAAAAAGAAACTCTTTTTTTTGCCTTATGTTCAAGGCGGGATTTCTAAATCTCTTATATCTATATATATATATATTATATATTATTAATAAAATAAATAACCCACTCTTGCCTTAATGTTAAAGCGGGCCACAACGTATATATATTCATATATATATATATATATTATCTCGCTCTTGCCTTAGGTTCCCAAGGCGGGCCACAAAACCGAATCCAAAATATATAAAAAATCGAATGAAACAATTAAAGCATAATCAATAAAAATAAAACCAACATAATTGTTATTAATATCTAATCACCATTTTTATTTTTTATTTTTAGATTTTTTTGCATCAATCAAAAATAATCAAATTCACACAAATAAACATATATAATCACTTTAATATTTAAAACTCAAATTAAATATAACACTGTTCTCATAATTGGACATTCTCAAATTATGAAGAAATTTAAACTTTATTTTGTACAAATTTATAATATTATTTTTTTTATTTCTTTGGCAAAAATATGTTATTATTATTTCTGGAAAAATTGATGAATAGTACTGTTCATCGATGAACAAACAGTTACTGTTCATCGATCGATTCTGGGAAAAATAATGAATAGTTCGTGAATAGTGTGTGAACAGTATCAATTTCTAGAAAAATTAAGAACATTCACTGTTCATCGATGAACAAACAGTTACTGTGCATCGATCGATTCTGGAAAAATTAAAAAATAGCTACTGTTCATTGAACAAACAGTTACTGTTCATCGATTATTTCTGGGAATATTGATGAACAGTTACTGTTCATCGATGAACATTTATATGATTTTTGCCCAGAATCCATTTTTAAGTATTTTTTACATTATTTCTTGTTCAAATGTAATTTAAGAACACATAAAATGGTCAAATATGAACAGAATATGATTTAAAGAAGCTTAAAATATTAAAATCACAAGAATATGTAAAAACACAAAAATATGTAAAAAAAATACAAAAAACGTTAAAGAAATTACCTGATCCTCAGATTGAGGATTGTAAATGGATCAAGATCTCCAGAAGCTTTTTTCCAAGGATTGATATATTTAGGTTGTTATCTTTTTGATTTTTATTTTTTTCTTTTCTTATCTTTTGATTTTTTTTTCTTTTTATGATTTAAATCACCTAAAATTAATATCTAACACCAATTTCTCTTCAAATCAATTCATAAGAATTTTTTTGAGAGAAATTGTGCAACACAGTGCATTTTTTAGAGTTTTTGCCTTGTGAAAATTGTGTGTGTTGTTGTGTGAAAATTGTGAGAAAGAGATAAATTTATAGAGCTAGGTAAACACTGTAGCACACGTACACTGTAGCAAACCAAACTGTAGCACACGGCTACTGTAGCACGCAGCTACTTTTTTTATTTTT